ATTCATCTATAGATTAAACCCTTTATCACAAGATGACGTCCTTATAAGGACGTCATCTTGTGATAAGGGGCTTAACCCTCTATCATTAGATAACGAGCAATGGCAAAACCCGGCAGTACAGAGCATTTAACCGGCAGTACATAGCATTTAGACCGTGTAGAAGGGAAGGAGCTCCACGGGAGGTTCTACAAATGAGCCTTTCATAGATACAGTTGCCTCCCTCAACTGGCTACGTTTCGGTGACCTCTTTGGGGAAACAGAGGGTTTTGTTTGTGCGATACAGGACCAGGTTAATAAGACCAACAACCTAAGGGAAGGCACCGTCGATACTCGTCGAGCTTGTCGCCATCCTGGTGAGTCACTTAGGCATGTCATCTCCAGCTGTTCGGCGCTTACTAACTCTGAGTATTTGCACAGAAACCACCTTGTAGCCAGGAATGTACACCAGAAGCTCTGAAATACGGTGTCGTGGATGGAAAATTGCCTTATTACAAGTACTTACCGGAAACCGTGCTTGAAACTGACCGCGCCGGGCTCTTTTTTTTATAGGATAAGGGTGACAAACGAGCACACAGTCCACCTGATGGTAAGTGGTTGCTGCGGCCCATAGACATCTACATTATATGATTACGAATCAACATGCAGATGCGTTGTCACCCGTGAGGACTAATATGGAATGCCTCGTTTCCAGTAAAAAAGCTGCTATTTTACGCTGGTATTCTGTGAGAGCGTGGTCCTTCCCCGGCCGAGTCGACCCATTCGTGTTACAACCATACCAGAAATATAGCTGCAGCATGGCTCTACCACGTATAAAACTCTACTGGGCCTACTGGGACCGGGACATCATCACGGACAGGACTATTCTTCCGAATAAGCCTCATATTGTGCTGATGGACCGGACACAGTCAAGGATATTTTTGGTCGACTTTGCCATTCCGTATGACGAGAACCTCGTGAAAGCCGAAACAGATAAGCGAACAAAATATCTGAACCTAGATCACTAGGTGACTGACATGACGGTGGTCTGCCCACTGAAATTATACTTGTAGTTGTTTCTGCGAACGAGCTAATCCCGGTCAGCCTCTCGAGTTATCTGAGTCGACTGGGATTCCGTGACGGACCGCTCCGGTCTCAAATGCTCCTCTATAGCATTGTCCGCCGGTGTCTTTCCCTTTCCCCCTAAACTGGGGCTGCCCATCTGATAGGGAATAAAGCAAATGTCCTAAGGTCAGCTTAGCGAGGATAAACAAAAGGACAAAGGCTGTAATATAATAATAATAATAATAATGTATGATCTATAACTGCACTTAAAAACACAAGAAAAATAAATTTCTGTGGCAGATAGATACCACGGAACTTTGGGACACTTTTTGGTACGAGGGGGGGGGGGGGGGGGGGGGTCGGCGACTGACTTTAATTTACTTGACTGTACTTTGCTCTATAACGCACATATACCGGTAGATAAAAGTACTCTTTTTTAGCTATACTGATTGAACAATAACTTAAGTTTGATATAACCATAGAAGTATTAGGCTTAGAACCGCAGTAGGCGCACGCAAAGTGAAGCTATTTCAAGTTAGCCTTTAAAGGCTAAGTACGACTTTTGACGCATTAGTAGTCTAGTCCACGTAGTCATGGACACAGCTCTCACATTTTTTCAAAAAAAATGACGTACTGTACTGTGAAAGGGTGTCACAACTCATCACATAATCACGAAAAAAATGTAAAAATCTCATTTCACGGTTAACTACTGCCTAGCATTTTATATTTTTGTAAAAAACATTCATCAACACATAATAAATAATAAATTTGACAGACGCCAATATAATGAAAATGTTGCTAGGCATAGTAAAATATTTTACCCCATTTTTTGTTATTATTATAATTATAAAAAAATGCATATTGAAAAAAATACATACATACTGCCAATAGTCTCATTCACATACAAATAGGTATTTTTATTTGCCAAATATTATAAGGGTTCCCCTTTGCCACGAAAAAAAATATGTTGATTTTATTTTGTTTTGATAATGTGCAGTTGTTTTTACCTTTTTATGGTATGTGTTTTAGGATAAATAACATAGGCTATGATTTTTTTTATTCTTATTTACATATATTTAACATTTTTAGTTCGATTCTATTATGAATCTAAAAAAGATAACATTTCGAGGATAGCGTCATCAAAGCGGCAGTTGTTTAGAAAACATTTGTAGTTTCAGGGTCATTATGAGATATTTTTTTAAGTACTTGGGTATATTTCATTTTATATTTTTTAATAAACATTTTTAATTTCATGTTTTATTTGAATAGTTATCTCCTTCCGAATCTTATTTTGTTTTAATGCAAAACATAATATCCAATAAAGTAATAATAATAATCACTTGAAGTTGACCGCACTCTTAAGTCTCGTGATTCCTTCTAATATTATATCCATTCTGTGAAAGTTGTATGTTGTAACCTTTACGTTGAAACGGATTTTAATTAAATATATCACGTAGATTCTTAGACTGGTAAGAATTGAAATCAGTGTATGCTTTAATATGCGGGTGAAGCCGCGGGCCACAGCCAAAGTTAGTACGGAATTACTAATGAAAAAATATCTGACAGCTAAAATGTTTATCTGACAACTATTCACTTGTTAAATTTAAGTGGGACTGGATTGGAAAAACTGGAAGAAATAGACGTAGGCATTTGCCTCCTTCATTTCTTCCACTTCTCTATTTATATCATATAATAAGGCCATTGAGTATTATATAAAAATTAATATTTACAAATAGTATAATATTTTATGGAAGATAAATAACAAATATTTATATAAATATACCGCTTCTAACAGAATAATATAATTACATAATAGATTTGTTAATATAACACAAGATATTACGTATATAAATAATTTAAATATTACACAAGTTAACAAAAATAAATAATGTTACATTTTTCTCTTTGCAAATAGTTAATAAATAATTATAAACCCAACCTAAATATTAATTCTATGACGATGTCTACTATTACATTTTCCCCACTTTTTGGGGTAAATGTCATTAACTTGCAAACATTACTGATTTGCTTATGTGCGTGTGGGCAAACGTAATTACAGGCCGCTTATGCACACATTCATTGCGTTGTAGCTTCAACTTTGAACGGAATTTTGAATGTCACTATCACTTTATGTGTAATTACTCTAAGGATATAACAATTCAGAATCTCAAAATCACTGGGTTGGCATTTTGACAGTTGAGCGTGTCGTAGCATATGTAGGAAAAATAATTTAAAATTAAAAATGTTGTACAACCGACTTCAATATATAAATTATTTAGAATAACTTAACAACTATTATTCAGACCTTGATCAAATTTATATAGTACCACATGACAAGCACCAGCTTTCAAATAAAAAAAAGAATCATCGAAATCGGTTCACCCAGAAAAAAGTTATGAGGTAACACACATAAAAACATTCGAATTCAGTACCTTCCCTTTTTTGAAGTTGGTAGAAAAAGACTTTTTAGGGTTCCACGGCCATACAATACTTACACCTACTTGTAATTTCGTTTTGTCTGTCTAGTCCGTTAGTATAATAGTTCACAGCAAAGCTGTTGTTTTTACCAAATTAGGTACATGAGTATTCAGTGAGTCTTTCGCTTTCGGTATAGACCATAATTTTAGGATAAGAAAATATTACAACTCTTTATTTTCCTATGTAAAATTGAAGTGAAGTACCAGCGAATATACGTCCCACCGCTGGGCAGAAATCAACGCTCGTTGGTGGACTTCACATACCCCAAATATTTATTTATTTTTCTGCCGACTTCCAAAAAGGAGACGGTACTCAATTCGACTGTATTTTTTTTGTTTTTTTTTTATGTGTGTTACCTCATAACTTTTTACTGATACATCTCGTGTGGTCCCATATGAATTTGATCAAGGTCAGACCAATAGTTTTTGAGTTATTCTTAAAAACTTATATTAAAGTCGGCTGTACAAAATTTTTAATTTTAAATTATATGTGAATCTTGTTAAGTAATGTTACAGCTTAGTATATACCTTTTAAAAATAGTAGGCTCTTTTCTTGAAGGTCCCTAAATTGTATCGGTGCGGAAAAATCGCGAAACTAAAAAAAGTACAAAACTTCTTGGTTTTGTATTTAGAACTAACAAGACTTTAAAATTTCTTAACTTCTTACGTATTCCTTAGTGCCGTACAATAACTAGTACGCAGTATTTTAGAGTACAACACAATTATTTGCTTTCCACATTCTTTGCTACACCGTTTACGTAGATCGTATTGAACGTATTCAAAAAAAAATTCTATCAATCCTATGTTATAGGTTTGGTTTAAATAAAAGTCTGCCCTCGTATCAAGAAAAACTGAAAAAGTTTAACATTACGTCACTACAAACTTGGTGTAAATATCAGGATATGACTTACCTTTTCAAAATTATTTATTCCCTTATTGATACCCCCTTACCCTCCTTTCATTTGTTATCAGGATATGACTTATCTTTTCAAAATTATTTATTCCCTTATTGATACCCTCCTTTTCATTTGTCAAGATTACTAAGCCCCATCGTCACTATACTTTCCTAAACAATTTTGCTTTGCCAGTTTATAGAAATAATACGTTCTATCATAATATTGTAGTAAGAATGTGTGGCCTCTAAAATGATTAATTGTTTAACTGACTGTTCCCCGCGACTTCGTTGGCGTGAAATTTATTACGATTGGATTTCATGGGTTTTATTTTTTTGCGCGGAACCCTAATTCTTTTCTAATATAAAAGTAGCCTAAGTTACTCCTTATACCAAAATAGGCCCAGCCATTTCGGAGATTAATCGGAACAAACAGACAGGACAGACAGGCAAAAGTTTTAAAATGTTATTTTGAAATTACAAACAGACACTTCAATTTTATTTATTTACAAAGATAATAGTAGAAATATCGAACGATTTACTCATCTTAAGATTGAGATTTATAACAGCGTGTTATATTTTTGTTGTAGGACTGATGAACAGGGGATCGCCATGAAGGTTTACCAGGGCGCTGTGCTCGCCCTCGAAGTCCTCGTCGTCACCATTAAAATGTATATTACCTGGATAATGTCTATATTCCAGTTCTTCTTTCCACGAGAGCCGAAGAGTGTTAAAGGAGAGATAATACTTGTAAGTACGCTTATGTTAAAAAGCCATTCCTCCCAAGGGCGGATACAGAGGTAGAGGTAGAGAGAGTAGAGGCCCATGGGGCTTCACTTTGATTGTTTTATCAATTTTTCGATTTTTGAAAAATCATCTTCCAGTTTCTCGGATGAAACATAGTCTAGATCCTGACATTGCTTTTTATCTGTTCGTAAAGTCAATCAGTTTTGCTATCACGAACATTATTAGATAGATTAGTTGTAGTAGTGTACAGACACATCTATACATTTTATTTAAATGTATTGATAAGATTATTTGGGCTTCTTAGTACATCCTGAATAGGTTATATTTATCCGAAATACATAAAAGATTTTTTTGTTAAATCGAAAAACTGATAAAATACGAGGGTGGATTGAAAAGTACTCGGCCTAACACAGATCCATTCAATTCTAAAAATCAAATCTACCCACATTATTTAGTTCAGTTCAGACTAGTTCATTGTGTGAAGTTCGAAACGTGTGCGATAATTAGTTGTGATTTTATAAATTTATTAACAAAGTAATCGGACATAATTTCCGCGAATGGAGCAAATCGAGCAGCGTGCCGTCATTAAGTACCTCCATAAGAAGGGGCTATCATCAAAAGCCATCCATGATGACATGGTCAGTACATTAGGCGATTGTGCTCTGTCATATTCATCCGTCAAAAAATGGATAGCAGAATTTAAGCGTGGTAGAGAGAGTGTGAAAGATGAACCCCGCTCTGGAAGGCCTTCGACGTCAACTACTGACGAAAATATTAAAAAGGTACTTGATTTAATAATGGGAGACCGCAGATTAAAAATTAGAGAGATAGCCGAGATTATAGGCATCTCTTATGAACGAACTCAAAACATCATTTTCAACGAGTTGGGTTTCCACAAGGTGTCTGCGAGGTGGGTTCCGCGACTGCTTTCAGTTGAACAAAAAAGGACGCGATTGACTATTTCACGCGACTGTTTGGAGTTATTTGAAGCCGATGCAGATGATTTTTTGAATCGTTTTGTTACTATGGACGAAACATGGGTTCATTACTGTACACCGGAAACAAAACAACAATCAAAACAGTGGAGAAGACCTGGTTCACCACCCCCTAAAAAGGCTAAGTCGATTTTGTCGGCAAATAAGGTGATGGCTTCAGTATTCTGGGACTCGAAAGGTGTGATTATGATTGATTATCTTGAAAGGGGTCAGAATATAAACTCTGATTACTACTGCACCTTACTACGTCGTTTACGAGAGGAAATAAAAGAAAAACGTCGAGGAATGCTCAGAAGAAAAGTCCTGTTTCATCAAGATAACGCCCGTGTTCACACGTCAGTACAGTCAATGGCTGAAATTCACAACTGTGGCTTTGAACTGTTACCGCATCCGCCGTATTCACCTGATCTGGCACCATCAGACTTCTTTCTGTTCCCTAACCTAAAAAAGCACTTGGGAGGTCAAAGATTTTCGACAAACGACGAGGTCAAAGCAGCTGTAGACGCATATTTTGACTCTAAGGAAGAATCATTTTTTTTCAACGGTCTAAATGCTTGGAAGGGGAGGTGGCAAAAGTGTATTGAACTTGATGGTGATTATGTAGAAAAATAAAAATATAACTGATTTAGTATGTGTTTATTTTCTTGGTTAGGCCAAGTACTTTTCAATCCACCCTCGTAAATGGTTTTGTATGATTGTCTCACAAACTAATAATAAAAATAATAATATAGAAATAAGAGCTATATAAAAAGTTTCAAACAAAAGTTTTAGTTTGGAATTTTACACGAAAAAGGTAAACACTTTTTTTCCTATCTTTTAAAATTTTGATGCAAAATCGATTTTTAAAATTCATTCTATTGCCTATAAAACTATGACTTGTAAAAGATAAGGTAATGAAATTTTTTACGTGAAATGATAAGTAAACCTCTTAAAAGAAAAATGGGATTTTTGGGCCTGAAATTAACTAATTGGTTTATAATTTAAAAAATTGGCCATATTTTTCTTAAGTAAAATACAAAAAAAGTAGCTCTTTTTACAATCTATATTTCGAAAAAACTATAAAATTAGCAATAAGTTACAAAATCGATCGTAGTATATTTATGGCAATAAATCGATAACCATAAAGAATACACTAGAGAAATTCTCGTTTCTATCTACGTTTCTGCACATAATCTTCCCATAGAGGACTTCTCATTTTGAAACTTGACAGTTCAAACTTCAAACTATTTACTTAAAAGAAAAAGATAGATTTTCGATTCGATTTGAAACGAGCGCAATATAATCGATTCTCGATTAAATTGAGCATTTTAATATTTATTTTCGATTCTTTTTCTATGTTAACTAGGGAGATAAAAAAATTGCGTACATATCTACAAAATGATAATAAATAAATAAAATATCAAAATTCCAACAACTAACAGTTACAACAACAATTCAAGTAATCGATCTCAGAATGATATCTATAATATTCACTTCACTTAGATCGTGATCCTTGGCGATTTTAACGCCCACCATGCCGAATGGCTCGGTTCACGTTTAACCGATCATGCGGGGAGATCTGTTTATGACTTTGCCTTGGCATATGGTCTGACACAACTGGTTACTTCGCCTACGCGGATTCCAGATGTGGAGGATCATACACCTTCCCTGTTGGACCTTCTGCTGAGCTCTCACACCGACTCATCGACCACGTCCAAATGGCTACAGATTCCTTGCTACAACAGGTCCCATCCGCAGAGATCGTGATCCTTGGCGATTTTAACGCCCACCATGCCGAATGGCTCGTCATCCGGACGAATATCAAGTTTCCGTCGATGCCCCTCTTGGCTCTTCGGACCATTGCCTGATCCGGAGTGTGGTGCCACTCACGCTCCCCTCGCGGTTGCGTTCTGCAGGTTGCCGCCGTGTTTGGCATTACAGGTTAGCGGATTGGGACGGAATTCGGTCTTTCTTTGCATCCTACCCATGCGGGCAGGTTTACTTCTCGCCGGATGATCCTAGCGCTGTTGCTGACTCTGTCACTGATGTGGTGCTACAGGGAATGGAACTATTTATTCCATCATCTGTGGTACCCATCGGAGGCAGATCTCAGCCTTGGTTTGGCCGCTCCTGTCAGAATGCATTGCGCAGTAAGCAGAAGTGCTATCAGGCCTGGGCTGGCACTGGGAATTTCTGTAAGCCATCACTACCATCTCTGCACGGGAGGACGACTCACTGGCCCACACCGTAAAAGAGAAAGCCGACCTTTTAGGCTGCCTTTTTGCATCCAACTCGACTCTTGATGACGGGGGGAACACACCTCCGACCATCCCGCGGTGTGAGTGCTCCATGCCTGATGTGCTATTCTCACAACGATCGGTCCGCAAAGCACTCCTCTCCCTGGACATCCACAAGTCGAGTGGGCCTGACGGAATCACCCCAATTGTGCTGAGGACGTGTGCTCCGGAGTTGGCACCGATTCTAACGCGTCTTTTCCGGTAATCCTACTCCCTAGGCGTAGACCCGAAATCATGGAAAACAGCTTTTGTCCACCCGATCCATAAAAAAGGCGACCGCTCAGACCCGTCCAACTACAGGCCTATCGCCATCACCCCCTTGTTCTCCAAAATATTGGAGTCCGTTATAAATTGCCACCTCATGCGGTACCTTGAGGATCACCAGCTGATTAGTGAACGCCAATACGGTTTTCGTCGGGTTCTATCAGCTGGTGATCTTCTGGTCTACTTCACCCATAGATGGGCGGAGACAGTAGAGTCCAAGGCCAGGGGAGGAGAGGCATAGGCATAGGGGAAGCATTGGCCGTTAGTTTGGACATTGCGAAGGCGTTCGATCGGGTTTGGCACAAAGCGCTTCTTTTGAAGCTCCCTTCCTATGGGCTTCCCGAGAAATTGTGCAATTAGATCACCAGCTTTCTTGCAGATCGGATCATCAAGGTCGTTGTAGACGGTGCATGCTCTGACTACAAGCTTATTAACGCTGTTGTTCCACAAGGTTGCGTGCTATCACCAACGCTGTTTCTTCTGCATATTTTAACGACCCCTCTTCTTCTATATATATATTTATATTTGTATTTCTTTAGAATCTATATCTATAAGGTATATAAATATATCTAATTTACGTGACCAGTACATTAACCATACATTGACCTTTCTAATGGTTTAATATTTAGGCCGTTTAATAAATTTATGGCGTGATCGACTTAGTTAGGACCCTTATTTACGTTGTGTTTGTATAGTAACTTAGTTATTTTAGGTGTATCTTGGAAGAATGAATATTCACGAGAGCAATCGAAAGCTGTTGGTAGCGTCTTATAAGCTAAAGAACCCCGTTCACGAAGACAGAGCTCAAAATAGTTAAGAACAATAAATTATCCCTATTCCACTTGAATCTGGTTCACAACAGTCAATTCCTTATTAATTAATCCCTTCCCGCTTGGAAAAGGCTCACAATATTTATACCTAGTCAGGTCATAAATTCTGTCACATGTTTAATATAAAATAATTGAAACAAGTTTATTCATTATGTAACCATTTATATACCAAAATGAACTTAACAAAACATAGATTCTTATGACACTAAAGTTTATTCAAAATGACCTCCGTGATTTTGAATACAGGCCTTCGATCTGCGCGGCCAGTCGTCTATCGCAGCACGAACGAGGTCCGTGTCAATATCGGCGGCTGCCTTAATCAAGGATGTCTTAAGTGACTCCAAATTGGGATGAGGTTTTGAGCACGCCTTTTCTCCAAGTGTTGCCATATCTTGTAATCTAACGGATTCAAATCTGGACTGGAGGAGGGCCAGTCTTCGTGCCGGATGAAGTCGACTTCACGCGCCGCCAGCCAGTCTTGTGTGCTCTTCGCTCTATGAGCTGGCGCCGAATCTTGTTGGAATACCCAGTGCCTGTTATTGAACATGGTATGAGAAACAGGTTCCACAAGGTTCGTCAGGACTGTATTTTGATATACAACTGCATTCGTTTTTACACCTTTCTCTCAAAAATGTACCTCTGTTAAGCCCCAATAAGAAACTCCCAACCATACCATGAGCGAGGATGGAAAATGACCTTGTTGGACACGCGGAATACGGTTACTCGCTTCTTCACTACTGTGTGCGTACACCTTATCATTTTGTTTGTTGTAGCTCTCTTCTACAGTAAAAATTTTTTCATCCGAAAAAAGAATTTCCCGATATTTATTTCCCGCGTACCGCTTCAACAAAGCGCGGCATCTCTTCAGTCTCAGGTCCATTAGACGAGCATTCAAACGATGTCCTGCTTTTCTTCGATAAGCCCGAAGCCCTAAGTCTTCATTTAACACCCTTTTCACCGTGGTTATGCTTAACCCCATCGAAGGGCCAACAGTTTCTGATTACGTTTGGGATTTCTTTGAATTCGCGCCCTCACAGCTTTTATCACTGCTGGAGTCCTAACAGACCGAGGGCGACCACTTCTTGACCTGTCATCTACACTAGAGTCTTCATAGACCATACTATTGAATGTCTTATTCATATGGGACTTCAAGTCATAACTCTGCTATCATAATGCTTATGCATCATAGAGACCTAATATATTAATGCTTTGGTTCGTTAGACCTTACTATGATAAGTCCCTAATATAGGACTAGTCATTGTGCAACCTTAGTACTAGCAGTAGGTCAGCCGACCACCCCATATATATGTACAACCTTAGGTATGTGACTCCGGCAACGCCCCCATATAAGGGAACATTACAAGAACACCTTCATCAACTTAAAAAAAATTTGAGCCATTTTTACTATTATATTACAAATGTTATTTATCTTTATTATTGCAATATAATCGACTTGTATTTATATGATTTAATACATTTTAAATACTTTAAGCAGAATTTTAATAAATTTAGAGATTTTTAGAGACAATTTATGCGTTTACTAATACTTATAATATTCAATATTCCAAATGAATATATTTGAACTTTATGCTTATTATTTGCATTTTAATTGTTTAAAATATAATTTCTATAACATTTTTAAATGTCTTTATAAAAAATTTAATTATTATTTATTAATATTAATTATGAGGCGTCACAATATCAATGTTATATTGCAAACCGGTAGCATTCATTGATATGCGGATGACAGCACTGGTGATGCTCTATACACCGGCCGTGACAATATTTCTCGGGAAAAAGTCGCCGAGTACCGGAACAAACTTGTGTCTAATGTCGAATCTTTGCTGAACAAATTTTCGGATTGGGGGCGACTAAATCTAGTCCAGTTTAATCCTCAGAAGACACAAGTTTGCGTGTTTAACGCTAAAAAGAACCCCTTTGTCGTATCTTCTCAGTTTCAAGGCAATCTCCTTGTTGCCTCAGCCAGTATCGGAATCCTCGGCGTCGACATATCGAGTGACGTGCAGTTTCGTGGTCACTTGGAAGAGAAGGCCAAATTGGCCTCTAAAAAGGTTGGCGTGCTCAGCAGAGCGGGACAGTATTTCCCAATTTGCAACTTTACATGGCGCAGGTTCCCATCTCTGGGCTGGGGCTCCCCAGTGCCAGCTCCTTCCACTTGACCGCATCCAGCACAGAGCGGCTCGAATCGTCAGATGTTGCATCTCTTTGCATTTTCTTTCGCATTTACCACGGGGAGTGTTCTGAGGAATTGTTCGGATTAATCCCAGCCGCCAAATTTCACGAACGCACATCGCGGCGGAACTCCCGATACCATCCACACCATCTGGATGATTGGCGGTCCACCACTATGCGATTTAGAAGATGTTTTCTTCCTCGCACAACTTCCTTGTGGTATACTTTACCACCAGCTATTTTTCCGGACCGATACGACTTAGGGACCTTCAAGAAAAGAGCCTACTCCTTTTTAAAAGGCCGGCAACGCATCTGCATTCCCCTGGTTCCCCTAGTGTTGCGGTTGTTCATGAGCGGCGGTAGTCACTTACCATCAGGTGAGCCGCATGCTCGTTTGCCCCCTCTCCTATAAAAAAATTGACTGCTGACGGGCTGGTGAGAGAGAAGCTGTGATGTATTCTGTTGTAGGTTTTCCATTCCACACATTTAAAGGCTTTTTTGCTCTACTTTGTTTGGATGAGCGCTTGTGCTACTTGCCTGTTTCTGTGGATTATTTCTTGGTACCTATTTTTAATAAAAATTATCCTCAAAATATCGTCAAAACCGGCTAATTTAACCTTATAATTAATTTTTTTGTTAACAAAAACAGGAAAAAGAGAAGTACGAGTTCTATTTATAATGTACAATCGCTGGCTGTTCTATCAATTTTTTTAAATTAATGAAGTTATTTTGATTAACACGTAAAACACTTTCAGATCACAGGTGCAGGTCACGGCATGGGCCGCGAGATGGCGCTTCGATTTGGAAAGCTTGGTGGCGTGATAGTGTGCGTTGACATTAACCCTCATGGAAATAAGGAGACTGTCGACATGATTAAAAAGCAGGACGGCAAATCACACGCATATGAGTAAGTACTTTCTATAATTTAAATGAAGAAGGAACGCCGCTAAAAATTTTAAATTCCCAAAGGACCATCGTTTTAGGCAATTTTGAGCCCAGAACTCCAGGTCTAACATGTTGAAACGCATACTTACCTATATATGTATACACAATATTATGTTAATTACAGTTTCTAGTGTCAAGTCCGCTGCGTTACCCCAATCATTGCTTGTTGGCGGACTTCACAAGCTCTCAAATTATTTATTTTTTTATAAAATTTGTGCAGTAAAATTACAGCTTGTCTACGTCCCAATGATGGGCACAGGCATCCATTCATTGTAGAGAGGGTTAGATAGCGATAAATCCAAAGCGCGTCTCTGATTACGCCTCGTTTAGAGGCGACACTCGTATTATTTTATTGACGGTTGGATTTCCTAGTATAAATTTAAAAATAGTGTTGGGTTTATATGTGGCTAGTGATAATTCACGTGGATTAGGGGAAAGGTGCTCTTTAAATTAGGTAATAATACATACAATTTAAATTTTACACGTGAACCTTAGGTTACTAATTATCACATCTTTAAAATACACAATAATAAAAATATTAGTTAGTATGATTCCTTTTCTGCTTGGCTGCGATTCGGTCCCTACCTATGTCTGCCACTACGCGGCAGTGCGTGCATTGCTGTTTCAATCCGAAGGGTTTAGTGAGCAAATATAATTTCAGGCTATGAGGCATTACATTCGAGTCCTCAGAGGTGTCAGTGTTTCTGTAGTCATCTTTGTTTGCAGATGTCCATGAGCTGCAGTAACCACTTACCATCATGTTCATCAAGTTCCTTTGTCACTTAAATTTTATATGGAATCTCGACTAGTCTTATTGGATCCTTATTCTCATCTCAATTGTATAAATTCCTTAAAGGATAGGTCTCGACACGAGTTTTGAGCGCTGGACATTTAGATGAGCCAATTAACGTATATTCATTTTTTTAAATTACAACTGTTGTGTCCTTTCAACTCATATGGTGCTTATGCCAGTCACTGACTACTTGGAAGAACAAAGAAGCTAACGAGGAGCGGAATTAGTTTCGCCGTCTCTATGCTTTTAACCGAATATTCTCAACCGCAGTCATCTAGAAGATGCTGTTGGCCATCTCATGTTTCATTTTCCCTTGTCGGCTCTTATGACCACCATTACACGGCAAGCTAAAGGTGTACCTTGATTATGTACATCTTCTCAGATATGATCATTAACGCCCCAAGTGGAGAAATATTAAGGCCACACAACATATTATGTAATCTCCTGATTTGTACTGCATTAACGCTGATTAAACCGCCACTCCTCATTTGAATACTTACTCTCCTTGGACCAGTACCTTCATTTATTGTAATATACCTATTACATCATAACATGTACTCTATGTTTATGTATTAGATGTACAAATTACTTTTTAATAGTTACCAAAATCAACTTTTTCATATAAGTTGTATGAGAACATAGTGTAGTAAAGTCAAATTATAGTCTTATTTATATTTTAAATCTACTAAAAATGAAAAGTCAATCAAATAAGACATAGCTAAACGTAGAACAATTCAAATATATGATGAAATAATTGGTTATTGATAGTGTTGGTAATAACTATTAAAAAGTAATTTGTAGTAGTTGGATACACTGGTCCCAAATGACTAGTGTATCTAACTACTACAAATTACATTTTAATAGTTTCCAAAATCAACTTTTTCATAAAAATTGTACGAGAACATAGTGTAATAAAGTCAAATTATCATCTTATTTATATTTTAAATCTACTAAAAATGAAAAGTCAATCAAATGAGACATTGCTAAACGTAGAACAATTCAAATTGTAAAGTAATAAATGGTTATCGATAGTGTTAACTATCCCTTTATAAATAAGAAGGAATGCATTGTTGTATTCCTTCATATGCATACACATCCATGTTAGCTAAAATCGTTTATTTATTTCAGTTGATTCAAAATTATTTTCTTACAGCTTATACGTCCCACTATTTTTATTAAATAAGGGTGACAAGCGGGCACATAGTCCACATGATAATAAATGGATGCTGTGATAGACATCTGCATCTATCTTCGATTAGTAATCAAGTTTCTTACGTAGTAGAGCCATGCTGCAGCTATATTAGTAGTATAGATGTAGCACGAATGGTTCGGCTCGACCCGGGAAGGACCACGCTCTCACAGAATACCAGCCTCAAATAGCAGTTTAACACTGCTGTGTTTCGTATGGTGAGTGTAGAGAACCGGAGACCCTTTCTACTGGAAAAGAGGCATTCCATCTTAGTCCTCATGGGTGACACGTTTTGATTCGCAAACGAGGATAAATGTAGATGTCTATGGGCCACAGCAACTACTTACCATCAGGTGGACTGTCTGCTCATTTGTGTGCTATTTTACGCTGGTATTCTGTGAGAGTGTGGTCCTTCCCCGGTCAAGCCAACCCATTCGTGTTACAACTATACCAGAAATATAGCTGCAGCATGGATGTTCTGTAAGAGCATGGTCTCTTCCCGATCAAACCGACCCATTCGTGCTGGAACGGGAGTCTACCCAGTTTTAGACTGCCTTGCTACTGAAAAGCTTATAAAGAAATTCAAGTTTCCTCTTAATATTTTCCTTCACTAACGAGCACATACAAATTAGCATTTAAAATTAAACTGGCGGCGGGATCGAACCTCAGTTGAATTTATAGCCTTTGAACTGCTAAGGCCCTTTAAAATAAGCCATGAGGATCTCGATGGCAAGCAATTAGTAAGATACACAACAACTATTTATATTTAAAATACACACAAATATTTATATATATATATATATATATATATATATATATATATATATATATATATATATATATATATATATTATACGTGGTAGAGCCATGCTGCAGCAGTACGCTGCTGTGTTTTGTATGGTGATTGCAGAGAACCGGAGACCCTTTTTACTGGAAACTTGAAACTTGGAAGCTTGAAAACGTCTTCCAATGCAGCGGTGACGAGTTTCGGGGATATGACGTCACCCTGTCTTACACCTCTCTGCAATTGGATAGGTTTCGTACTCTGGTTCTGTACTCGGATAGCCATCGTAGCCCTACTGTACAAGCACTTCAACACTTCGATATACCGACAGTCAACTTGGCACCGCTGAAGGGACTGCAGCACCGCCCAAATTTCGACGGAATCAAAGGCTTTCTCATAGTCCACATACGCCAGACATAATGGCAAATTGTACTCTTTGGACTTCTGTACAATTTGCCGAAGGGTACGTATGTGGTCTATGGTGCTAAAGCCCTTTCGGAAACCGGCTTGTTCGGGAGGCTGGAAGTCGTCAAGTCTGCGCACGAGACGATTCGTAATGACTCTCGAAAACAGCACGTAGACGCGGCTCAGAAGGGAAATCGGTCTGTAGTTCTTCAAGAGAGCGTTGTCACCTTTCTTGAAGAACAAAACCACCGCACTTCTGCTCCACGCCTCCGGTGTAATGCCACCATGGAGGACGGAATTAAAGAGCTTCTGAAGGACTTCAAGTACCGGTTTTCCACCCGCTTTCAGAAGCTCCGCTGTAATTCCATTCTCGCCTGGGGCCTTACCGTTTTTAAGGTGCTGGAGAGCCATTCTAATCTCGCTCAGACTGACGTCCAGGATATCTTCGGAATAGTGTCGGATGAGACTCGCTCTTGGATCGTTACTCACACTTGCGTGTGGCTCCAACGATGACGTGTACAACTGCCCATAGAACCTCTCAATCTCACTCAAAATCTCAGGTGTCCCGGAAACGATGCTGCCACATTCTATCTTCAGCTTTGACAGTTGGCTCTTTCTGGCAGACAGATCTCTGGCAAAGACCTTGGAGCCTTGGTTCCGCTCGATCGCTTCTTCAATACGAGCTGTATTGAAGTTGCGTAAGTCCCGCCGCATGAATTTGGAGATATGTCTGTTCAGATGCCTGAATGCTGTCAAGTCTGTTGAAGAATGTAGCTTCATCTCCCGTCTAACAGCCATGAGATTAAGAGTGTGATCGGAGAGTTTTTGTGTTCTTCTGCGGCGGGTCTTGCAGAACTTAGCTCCGACCGCATGGACAGTTTCCACGAGCTTGTCATTCATATCGTCCACTTCATTGCAGTCTTCTAGGCACTGAAAACGGTTTTGTAACTCGAGCTGAAAGGTTTCGGGACTTTGGATTAGAGCACGAGGGGGACGGAGCGTTGACTTCATTAGACGAGACCTCTCCAACTTAACGTTTAGGTTCAGTGTGCCTCTAACCATTCGGTGATCGCTACCAGTTTTCACCCTCGCGATTTGACCAATGAAATTTTTAATTGTTACTTTGCAAATAACAATTAAAAATTTCATTGGTGCCAACGTGGATCGAATCTGTGTAATTTACAGCCGGCGCTTATTCCCTGGGCTACTACGGTACTTATTCGTGTTTAATATTACTGGTAGTATCAATATTAAACTTAACCTCTAATCACACGTACACATAAACGGTACCTACGTTAGAAGACCTTGAGACCATTATATAGACATTAGCGCAGAATAAATAATAGTACCACGTAACATTAGCAACAATTTCACTGTGTTAAGTACATACATTAGCATCGACGTAATTCCAAAAAAAGCAAGAATGGGGAAAATGATAATTATTTTGCTACATAATTTACCTTGTCTGGTACTAAACGTCTCGTTTTGTTTAAGATAATAAAACCACTAAGTTTTTTGAGTTTCATTTGGAAATTTATATTTTTAAATTCAATATGACTTTATGTACCTATATGAAATATATGATATGTGATAGGGCCGTAAGGGAATTCACTAAAGCACACTATAACGTGGACGCCGTAAGAACCGTCAGAAACTGAAACAGGAAATCGACAGCGGTCTTCGTGATAATAACTCCAAAAGAAAAAAATCTTCGGTTACTAACCTGTCTGTCAAACGTAGCAACTATAAAAGTATCCCCCTTATGACGTAATCTATGGGGGAGACCCTTGTTCATCAGTGGACTTTTCATATACTATAATAATTAAGATGATATATGCAGCGACGGCGTAAGATAATATATCATGCGTACAGCAAAGGAGTGGAATAAGTTGCCAGCATCTGTCTTTCCATCCGATTACAGTGTGGGTGTCTTCAAGACAAGAGTGAATAGGCTTTTGTTAAGTCAGTGCGCTTCACCATCTTAGGCTACATCATCACTTACCATCAGGTGGGATCGTAGATAAACGCTGGGTTATTAGAATATATATTATATATAATTTAACAGTGGTAGAGCCACGCGGCAGTTTATGCTGTTACACGGATGGGCCGGCTCGAACCGGGGTGGTACCACGACCTCACAGAAAACCAGCGTGAAGTAGAGGTAGGTTTACCTCTGCGTTTCGCTTGGTGAGTGCAGGTGGCCGGAGGCCCTTTTTACTGGAAATGAGGCATTCCATCTTCGTCCTCACGGGTGACAACGCATCTACATTTTGATTTGTAATAGAGGATAGATGTAGATGTCTATGGGCCGCAGCAACCACTTACCATCAGGTGGACTGTGTGCTCGTTTGTCACCTTTATCCTATAAAAAAAAATATAAAAAAAACATCAAGTGGACGTCGTAAGTGGCGACAGAGGGAGAATGAACGGGAGATGAGCAGCAACACCTTCCTGATAACTCAATAATAATAAAAAACAGCAATCACCGAACCGCCTGCAAAATATGGTAATTATGACATATATGAAGGACTAGCTGTTCCCCGCGACTTTGCGCGCGTGTTATTTGGAATTTTGATTTTTTTGCGCGGAACCCTAATTCTTTTTCAAAACTATAAGCAGCCTAAGTTACTCCTTGTGACATCAGCTATCTGCCAGTGAAAATCCCGTCAAAATCGATCCAGTCATTTCGGAGATTAGCCGGAACAAGCAGACAGACAGACTGACAGACAGACAAACACTTTAAAAATTGTATTTTTGTTATTAGTACCGCATATACTTACATATGCGTTTAGTAAAAAGCTGTAATTTTATCATTACAAACAGACACTTAAATTTTATTTATTTGTATAGATATCATACTAGACAACAAGGCTGATACTGTGTTTCGAATAGTGTGTATAGAGGACCGCAATCAACCAGATTGCAAATTTTAACGTGGTAGAGCCATGCTGCAGTTATATTAGTAGTACAGTTGTAGCACGAATGGGTCAGCTCGACCGGGGAAGCACCACGCTCTTACAGAATACCAGCGAAAATAACAGCTTAATGCTGCTGTGTTTCGTATGGTGAGTGTAGAGAACCGGAGACCCTTTTTACTGGAAACGAGGCATTCCATCTTGGTCCTCATGGGTGATAACGCATCTGCATTTTGATTTGTAATCGATGATAGATGTAGATGTCTATGGGCCACAGCAATCACTTACCATCAGGTGGACTGTGTGCTCGCTTGTTACCCTATCCTATGAAAAAAAAACATACTGTCTTAGTCATACTTAGGACTTAGACATTTTGTTTATTAGAATAGAATAGAATAGAATAGAATAGAATGATTTTTATTCAATATGGATTATTACATAATACTTATTGAAAGTCATTATTTTATTTACCACTGTGTACTGTATTTTGATACACAACTGCATTCGTTTTTACACCCTTCTCACAAAAATGTACCTCTGTTAAGCCCCAATAAGAAACTCCCAACCATACCATGAGCGAGGATGGAAAATTACCTCGTTGGACACGCGGAATACAGTGTGAAGAAGCGAGCAACTGTACACCTTACCATTTTGTTTGTTGTAGCTATCTTCTACGGTAAAAATTTTTTCATCCGAAAAATTCTTTTTTCTTCAGTCTCAGGTCCATTAGACGAGCATTCAAACGACGTCCTGTTTTTCTTCGATATGCCCGAAGCCCTAAGTCTTCATTTAACACCCTTTTCACCGTGGTTCTGCTAAACCCCATCTGAAGGGCCAACAGTTTCTGCTTACGTTTGGGATTTCTTTGAATTCGCGCCTTCACAGCTTTTATCACTGCTGGAGTCCTAACAGACCGAGGGCGACCATCTGTCATCTACACTAGTCTTCATTGTATCGTTTGATGGTACGATAAACGAATCTTTTGGTTATATTCAAATTTTTCAGTATGTCAAATATTTGAATTGGCGCGTAACCGCAACGATGCAACGCAATAACTGCAACACGGTCTTCTTTAAGCGTCCACTCCATATTTAAAAATGAGTAAAATTCTAAAAAGTATACAGTTTTATTTTCATGAACAATTCGAAATTCGAATTCAATAAACTTTTTTGTGGCCAGCATTCTAAAAGAAAAGTTTTTACTGTGTGACAATACTTATGACCTGACTAGGTATATATATTTTATTACATTATCCTCTTAATGTTTAAAAATTTTGTAATTTTGATGTAGGTTTCTCTTGCGATGTTTTTTTTCTTCTCAGCCAGGTTGTGATAAATTAACACTCAAAATTATTGCTGACGTTCTCAGAGCCGGCTTGGAGTAAACTGGGGTTGTTTGTGTTGTGCGTTGTTTCGATCACTAATTAACAAAACGGAAGCTCATCAGAGGTTTATTAATAAAATCAAGCGTTACTTTGCAGTAATTAATTATAAGAGATGAAAAAAGTAACTACTTAAGGCCAACAATAATTTAAAATTAAAAATTTTGTACAGTCGACTTCAATATAAGTTATTAAGAATAACTCAAAAACTATTGGTCTGACCTTGATCAAATTCATATGGGACCACACGAGAAGTACCAGCTTTTAAATAAAAAAAAGAATCATCCAAATTGTTTCACTAAGTAAGAAGTTACGATAACACACATAAAATAAAACAAAAAAAATACAGTCGAATCGAGTACCCTCTCCTTTTTGGAAGTCGGCAGAGAATTACTTTTTATTTAGATAGATAGAATAGATTTTATTTGTACTGCCGCCGCTAAGCAAAACTCCAGTACACACAACACCACTACCACCAATACCACTACCCCCAACACCAGTACGCCTTACACCACTAGCCCCCACACCACTCTAACCTCTCTCTATACCACAGACATATAATAGAGTAGCAGACCAAACATTCGCTAAAATTGCGTAGCCATTACGCACACATAGGTAGTGTGTCATTACAGGGCCGAACTAGGGCTAGTTGCTGGTATTATTTAACGATATTGAAACAACCGATATACTTACTGACAATCCGCAAAAATCAGTATCTAGTAATCGTACCAGAAGTGTAGATTACTTATCAAGTAGTATCACAGGTAAGGCGCACCAGGAACACAAGGCGCGCCTTCATCTGCAGCCTCTAACTCCTCCATTTGCCTAACGGTACCCCCGAGTCCAATACGCTGAGGCCATGTGGCCAGTAAAAACGAGTACTCGGACTAGCTTTAGCTCACTTGCTTTCCCGACCCCAGCGGCGGATCTGGTCTTTGCCTCCGCCGACAACCAAGTTTCGCCCGCGGAGGTTAGTACACCTCTTCCCCCGCGGCCACACCCCCACCGTGTCAACTGTGCGGCTCCGTCAGTCGCGAAGGATAGGGCGAGTGGCGCATCGCCACACTAACACAACTCTTCCTCCGCGACTCCACCTCGGCTACAGCGGTAGGGGTAGAGGACACCCCCTCCATCGCAGCCCACCAACACACATAAGAAGTGGGCCGCCACTCAGAGTGGCCTCTTTGGGCAGGGTAGGCCCTACAACATGGGCCAGCCATATGGGTTTTTTTTTATATAATAAGGATGACAAATGAGCACACAGTCCACCTGATGGTAAGTGATTGCTGCGGCCCATAGACATTTACATGTATCTTCGTTTGAGAATTAAAATGCAGATGCGTTGTCAGCCGTGAGGACTAAGATAGAATGCCTCTTTTCCAGTAAAAAGGGTTTCCGGTTCTCTACACTCACCATGCGAAACACAGCAGCATTAAGCTACTATTTTACGCTGGTATTCTGTGAGAGCGTGGTCCTTCCCCGGTCGAGCCGACGCATTCGTGCTACAACTATACTATTATAGCTGCAGCATGGCTGTACCACATATAAATGGTTCCTCTTTGTTCACCGCGGGCGACCAATCCACGGCTACTAACCCCCCCCCCCCCCCCCCCCCGCCATGACAAAACGGGAACCAGATGCGATCTCACCTCTGAGGACTAAGATGGAATGCCTCACAGTATGTAATCATACTGACTCTCTATACCGTTTCGACTGTAACACATCAATTTACGCACTGATATTTGGCGGGAGAAACAGCTCAGGGGTCCTACCACTTACTAATAATAGTAATAAAGAGTATTCATGAGAGTCCATAAAATACAATAAAACGTATGTAAGAGTTTAGAAAAGAAGACGTTGAGTGTATACATTTACCGTTTTTGTCATCAGATGTGACGTCACGAACCGTGAAGCCATCAACGCGCTCGCAGAGAAGATTAAGCAAGAGGTCGGTGACGTCACAATGCTGGTAAACAACGCCGGGATCATGCCTTGCAAGCCGCTTATGCAGACCAATGAAAAGGAGATCAGAAATGTATTTGAAATTAACGTACTTGCGCAACTTTGGGTAAGTCGTAGTAGCCTTCACATTATTCGCTTGCATGATACATTTTAAAATACATCATATAAACTTAAAATCTTATTTCATTTAAATGTACCACTATCACTCACGCTGACTGAATGGCTAAGTTCGATGGTCACTCTGTTCTACGATGGGTGTGGCCCTCCAGCATTTCGGAGACTGTGCAAATGGTTTTACACTCATCCCACGTAAAAACCCTGGTGTAACAAAACAAGCTGGTGACAACTGGCGGTAGATGGTACACGTCAGCTGGCACGCAACAAGTGGCGTGTTCGTATAAGATACCGAGACCCACTTGTGTGCAAGCAAGTATGTATACATGTGAATGTGTGTGTGTGTGTGTGTGATGATAAAGATTCCAAAAAGCCTGGGTTAACATAACTAATGTTTATCTTCATAAACACACAAAAAGGTGTCCGATCTTTTTACCCAATTTTACCCAAAGTCCGGCATAACTGACGAGCTTGTTCGGATTTCTGTTTTAGGGCCTGGCAACCCTACTAGCCAACATATCGCGATTGTAAAATGGACATCCCACGCAAAAATACCTCTATATTAAATATTAAATACTTTAACTACTACATTGGATTTGGTGAAAAGTAATATTGCATTTGAAGTAAACACGAATAATGTTAATTAATTTGATTATTAATTGTTTGCTTTGACAATGTTTTCCCACACAATGTATATTGTTTATGGAATAAATGACGACTATAATATTAAAAAAGAACAATTATCATTTGTTTCGTTTCCTTAATTTATTTTATCTCTCTCATTATTAGCTCATCCAAGCGTTTCTTCCAAAAATGATGGAACGCAACCACGGGCACATTGTTGCGATGGCTTCAATGGCCGGCGTGATCGGGCTTCGAAACCTGGTGCCATACTGCGGCACCAAGTTCGCCGTTAGGGGGATAATGGAGGCCTTACATGAAGAGCTCAGGGAGGACAAAAGGGACTTTAGTGGGGTAAGATATATGATTTTTTATTTAAAAACCGTGTAGTGTAGTGGCGATGTAAGAATATCCACCGTTCCGTGGGTGTCGTAAGAGGCGATAGGACCACCTTGTGGGACACCAGAAGTAACCTCAGACTATTTGGAAAAATTGCGGTCTAGACGTACCGCTTGCTGTGACGTCAGTGAAGACAGCATGATCACCAGTTCAACGCCGTGGATGATGGTGGAGAATGAGGATGATTAAACATATTGAAGACATTCAAGTAGTATATAAGCACTAAAAGGGTGACTAACGTATGTGTTAGTGTATGTGTTGTTACTATTAATCTTTAGCAGTACCTTACTGACTCTCAGAATAGAATAAAATAGAATAATTTTTATTCAGTATAGATTATTACATAATTCTTATTGAAAGTATTTTTTTTTGTTTATTTACCACTGGTTCGGAAACTACCTCTGTCCTGGGAAAACTAGCAAGAAACCCAGTGGGACTTTTTTTAAACATATTTCACTTTACAATAATTTTGTTTGTACAAATTTTAAATGAATTTTAATAGTACCAGCATGCAGCCAGCATTTTTTTTTCATTTATGGATTCTTTGATTGTACAATTTTTCTTTAATGAAACATTTAAACTTGTTTATTGACAAATTTTATACATTATCTGAGATTATTGAGAAATCGAGCATTAGGTGCTTTTCGAAACATGGAGGTGAAACAACACCAAGAATATATTTGACAGAAAACTCAATAATCGATTTTTTATTTACCTTTAATTCCCCAGGACCTCATTTATTACAATCGTAGAATTGACACTGCAACAAAGACTTGTACTGTCCTACATTAATAATTTGTACTTAATTTTATTATAAATGAGATCTAATAGACAGAGTTATTAAAAAGTAACCCTTTACAGACTATACCATATAACAGATATTACAGATAATACCAGGATTATTCAAGTGTTCTTCCAATAACTAAGGTTAAGCTCTAACTCTTAACTAAAGTTTGGTTAAGAGTTCAGCTAGATAATTAGGGCTCGCTTCGCTCGCCCTGCACTATGCACTTTTGTGGTACATTTACTAAGAAAATACCACACTTTTAGGTTTAAGCTTTGAGTATTTTCGATTCATGTCTAGATTTTTTATAGGATAAGTTTATAGGATAAGATTATAGGATAATACATCTACATTTATCCACGATTACGAATCAAAATGCAGATGCGTTGTCACCCGTGAGGAATAAGATGGAATGCCTCATTTACAGTAAAAAGGGTCTCCGGTTCTCTACACTCACCCTACGAAACACAGCAGCCTTAAGCTGCTATTTTACGCTGGTACCTATTCTGTGAGAGCGTGGTCCTTCCCCGGTCGAGCCGACCCATTCGTGTTACAACTATACCAGAAATATAGCTGCAACAAGGCTCTACCACGTTTAAGATGTGTTACCAATCATAAAAATATTATTTTTTCCATATTAAAAAAAATAGAAAATATAACAATTTTTATTAATTAGATTTTTATTGTATTACTAACGCCATTTGTAAGAAAATTAAGCAATATTTTGTAGTAGTACCACGTTAGATGGCGCTTATTATGAATTAGGAATGGAGCATAACTTGATGAAAAAATGTCGGATAATCTGTCAGGTCATTAACAGTGGTAGAGCCACGCGGCAGCTTCTGCCGTCGCACGGATGGGCCGGCTCGAACCGGGGTGGTACCACGACCTCACAGAATACCAGCGTGAAGTAGAGGTTTAGCTCTGCGTTTCGCTTGCTGAGTGCAGGTGGCCGGAGGCCCTTTTTACTGGAAATGAGGCATTCCATCTTAGACCTCACGGGTGACAACGCATTTGCATTTTGATTCGCAAACGAGGATAGATGTAGATGTCTATGGACCGCAGCAATCACTTACCATCAGGTGGACTGTGTGCTCGTTTGTCACACTTATCCTATAAAAAAAAAGAAAAAGGTTCAGACATCGTATGGGCCAACTTAGTTAGATCTATGGTCTGGCCAAGGTCAATAAAATATGTTTCTTTAAATGTTATTTATAAGAATTCGCGAGTCATTACAAAGTTGTACATTTAGCATTAGCTATTGTTATTTATTGATCAGTCTCTCATTAATCTTATCAATCATCTCATCATCTCATTAATCAGCAATTAGCACAAACAAATGTTAAGCTTTCTTCATCATCCACACATAGCAAATGTGCCCAATTCTTACATGCGCTGCATTCATTCCATTTTTTTCCAGGCGCAGAGTTAGAGTAAGAGTCACAGCATTGGATGCAAAATCATTCTTACGGCACTTTTATCATCCTTTTGAAGAACTTTCCTACTTGCGGGGTTCTTAGCCTTCTTCCTTTTTTGTTTACTTCATTTAGCATTTCCTTTACACTTCTCTGTGGTGTTTATTTCTTTCTATTTCAATTCAATAGTATGTTATTCTGCTAGAGCATTTTTTCTGAAGTATCCGTTAGAACATCTGATTTTCTTTTACCTCGTGTATTAAATTAAATTAATTGGGGAAGTGCTTTAGGTGATGGTCTAATTGACTCCGGAGAAAAAGATGTTGTATCGTTGCCTCCTGTTTGAGAAATGATGCGATCAGCTGATTGAGAATGATAGCGAGGGATAAGCTCCGGACCATACTGGCGTGACTAGTTGCTGATAACCTGAAGAACCGGACTCATTCCGCAGTCTATATTGATTGATTGCTGAATATCTGAACGGCTCGTTTCATTTATAAAGTCAACACTGCACAGGAGTTGCTGAGGGCCCGGCTGAATTATTGACGGACTAGACTCAACACTGCGAACCGTATAATTTGACTCATGAAGCAAAGCATTTACCGCTATCTCAACTGTGATTAACGTGCCACGTTCTGCCAATACAATTGCTCCTACCTTCTTTACTTCTTTTGCAATCACAACTTTCTTTGGTTTCAGCACAACTTGAACACCAGTCTCGTCTCAATATACGTGAAGGAGTGAGATTATAATTTGTAACTTGATCTCCAAGGTTCTCAAAAAATTAGTTCACGTTATGTCTGTTGAACGTGATCGCGCGTGCTGCACTCGTTGTTTCCAGTTTTCTTATCGAAAATGTTGGGTTTCCTTTCAAAAAATTTGTCAAGTAATCCTTACAGGTCTAACTATTTTCAGTCCAATAAGGTGGAATGTTTTGTACACAAAATTTCATCGCACATTGTTGTGCAAGATGCCTAACTTCTTCAGGTAGAAGTCCGAAGAAAACAGATGCGCTTTTTCAGATATATGACGTCTTTGATGTCTCTTGTTCCTCATTAAAAATCAGTCTTGGTTTATATCCAACCGTAGGAGTAAGTCCACTCTTTATTTTCTTTACATACTATTGTTGTGAGACAAACTTCTAATTCACGTGCGACGGTTTTTAATTTGCGCCCGTATTTAATAACCGCATCGGCAGCTTTTTGTAGAAGTTCGTGGGAAGTATACCCCGATTGAAAGAAACTTTTATCCCATTTCAAAGAAATGAACTCTATCATATGCCAAAAAAATTATTTACAAAGCGTTAAAATTGTATAGATTAATATTTCTGGATAAATTACAAACACATAAGTAAAACTCCTATATCCGTGACACCGAAAATGCTTACTTACTTGAGACTAAAAAATATGAACGAAAAAATATTTAATCGCGTGTTGCTGGAGGATCATTACACACACTGTCGCTGGGTCCGTGTCTCTGGTCTGGCGCAACTAAAACGCCCACCGCCACAGACTAACTAGTAGATACTAATTACTAACCGAATCCCGCCGCACATCAACGCACATTCGCTAGATTGTCAGAGCGCAGAATATAATATGAACATACAGCTATCTCTTTCTGTTTTTTAGATATTTGCATCGAAACAACTTACCTACGACACTTTCAGCCCCGCTCGCCCCTACTATTAAATCATCAAGCAAACAGATTATTTTAAATAAAAAACAGTGTTTAATGTTATTTAATTAACATTGCAATAACATTAACATTAATATATTACATTTTAATAGTAATTATGTATCCATAATGCTAAAAAGAGAAGATGTTAGTAATATTTTAATATATTTAATGGTTCATATTAAAACAATTCAAAGATACATACGTATTACCCGTATAAATTTGTTATAATAACAGATATAACAAACGGAAATATAACAACAACCACAGAACAGAGATCAGAAACTTGCTTCACTGTTGAAATATTAATTACTACAATATTAAATTATACGTGGTAGAGCTATGTTGCAGCTATGTATATTAATGGTATAGTTGTAGCACGAATGGGTCGGCTCGACCGGGGAAGGACTACGATCTCACTGAATACCAGCGTAAAATAGCAGCTTAATGCTGATGTAGATGTCTTTGGGCCACAGCAACCACTTACCATCAGGTGGACTGTGTGCTCGTTTGTCACCCTATCCTATAAAAAAATGTATGTGGTAGGAATCCTTTTTTACCTAGGAATGCGTCTGGGTAGTAACTGCCCTCTTACCCACTTCTGTCGCCAAGCAGCAGTGCTTGTACTGGTGTATTCCGGTCTGAAGAGTATAGAGAGCTTGTATAATTACAGGCTGTGAGAAATTCTATCTTAGTCCTCAGAGGCAACGTATCTGTAACCTAACGTGTTTGATGTTGGTTGCACGTGTCCATGGACTGCTGTAGCAAAGCAAGTTAAAGTAAGGTACCGAATTCAAAAAGGAGGAGGTACTCAATTCGAAATTATGTTTTTGGAACGAAGTTCCTTATACGACGGTACGGGTTTGGCGGATGAGAGCTAGGTGACAAAAAGTGTAAGATTTTTTCGTCACTACCCCTTGTGTCATATTGTATTTAATTTTAAATGACGCTTCTTTTTAAGGGGCTACTCCATGCGAACGACCTTGAGCATTTTGCCGGCGGCACGCCGCTCGCCTCAATATATTGCTTATTTGAAATATGTACGACGCCACCACCTATTGTAGGTACGAACGTAGTATTAT